AAACCCTAAACCCTAAACCTCAAGGACACCTTCAACACTGCCACATGCCCGCCTGGCCATTCCCAGGCTGGGCAAGGAGAAGGGACTTAACTGTGGAGTCGATTTCTGAGGTTCAGGGAGCTCGAGTTTTAGGTTTAGGGGTTTAGGGTTTAGGGTCTAGGGATTAGGGTTTAGGGTTTAGGGTCCAGGGATTAGGGTTTAGGGTTTAGGGTTTAGGGTTTAGGGCGGGAGACTGATTTTGGATTCAGGGTTTTGGGGCTTTGGTGCATGGAGGTTTGGGGTTTAAGGGTTGCAGGGTTTAAGGGTTTTTTCGGTGTAAAAGGAAAGGATGTCGAGATTGCTGCAGACGTGTATGAGGCGTTGATTGGTTTGCATCGGGTGTTCCAAACACAGTCCTTGTGGAGACCCCAAGCACTATGTTCAGGATTCGAAAGCACAAGATCTGAAGCCCCCATGGTACTTTGGAGGCTGGTAGTCTGTGCAAGATCTTGGCCCAACGATTCGTGCCACACCAGACATCGCCGTTTGTCATGTGCAAATCCCGAACCACAGTCACTAAACTCTCTAACCGGAAAGCTCTTACTCCCTCTCTCTCGCCCTCGCTTTCTCTCTCTCTCTGAGCCCTAGGCCCTAAACCCTAGAACCGCGCGGCTTTAAACCAGGGACCCTGCATGACCGCCCGGATCTGTTACTGCCCCCTGGCGGAAGATTGAGCTTGAACGTGTTGCTTGGTTCGTTGGGGTTTAAGGTTCCGTTGTTTTCTGAGACTTTCACGTAGGCTTCGGGGGCTAAGTAAGCTTCGCTAAGGCGGCCCACTTTCGCTTTGATGGCACCTTAAGTTAAGATTCTTGCCCATAGGCCCCAGAGTAGTTCCTTGTCGGGGCTCATATTTAGAATCCTATAAGGACAGAGCCCAGCATCTCTTTGTTGGCGTGATGAGTCCCGTGAACGCCAGAAAGCACAGGACTATGGCTTGCCAAGTACGGTCATGCAGCTAAACCTTGAACCATGCACCGGAGCTGTTTACGGGTTTAGCGTTTCGGGTATAGGATAAACTAAGCCGGAACACGTAGAACAGGTAGTTCACATCCCAAAGCCTTCACTCAAGCTTGCGCCGAAAACTTCTTTTGGCGTCAGCCAATACACTGCAGATTTCCGACAAAGGTCCAGCAGAAGGGTAATGAGCACCTTAGATCAAACCGTTTCAAGAAATCGTGGACTTGCAGATGTCAAGCTCCAGTTGAAACATGCAACACCATATAACGCGATCACATCCGATCCTACTTGGAGGTTCATAGGTAGTTACACATGGGATTATAAGCGCTGCAGGCTAGCTGTACTTATAACCCATATTCGGGGACT